GGCGTGGCGGGGCGCGATGGGCGATGGGTCTCTACTGGGCCTGCGCCCGGCCCGCCCTATAAATAAAAGAGGGGCAAATAATGCCCTAGGGCGTATGTGGGGGCGTGGCGGGGCGGGACGACTCGTCCTGCTCCAGGTTTGACCCACATCAAACACGAGCTCGGGGAGCGGAGCGGGCAATCAAGGAACGCCTCGGCCCGAGAGGGGGAGGAGGAGGAGGAGGAGGAAAAGCACTTCTTGTGTCGTCTTGACTGGAAATCCGATTGGAAGGTGTTTGCCCTTCTGCAGACACCCCCTCCCACCTCCCTACTTCCACCCACTTTCACCACGGTGCTCCTTCTCGCCTCAACTTCACCTCGACCTCCGCGCCCTCATCAGCGGCTCACGCCTCGCCTGCGCCCACCCCACCTACCCACCCCGTGCGCCGGCGGCCGCGCGCTGAGAGCAGAGCCACCACCCCCGCCACCCATACTGCCCTGCCAATCACTCAGCCCTTATTGGCCGGCGGTGGCGCCCCGCAGGGCTCCATTTACCATCCGGCAGGGCACACCGGGAAATAATTACGGCTTGTGCGTCACGGCGCGGGGCAGTGCCGAAAGGGAAGGGCGCCGCCGCGCCCGCTTGACCTGTCGGCCAAATTGACTTCCTGACGACTCTTTCGGCACGGGACAACGGCCAGGGGCGGCGGCCGGGCGAACGGGAGAAAGAGGGGCCGAACCGGTAAAAGGCCACATAATGCCCCGCGGGCCCGACTGTGTAGTAACGCCCGGCTAATTGGATAAAGACATCGGCCATAGAGAAGGAGCTTGAGGGCCAACGGCGGGACCGTAAAGAACGCGCCGTTGATGTTGTTGCTGCTGCTGGGGCTGCGGGCCAGTAAAGGGACGACATCGAAAAGTCTGTCCCCGCGGGGCCCAAAAGTGAGTCCCCGACCCGACAGGCGCAGGACAGGGCAGGGACACAGCAGGGCGGGCCTGGTCTGGTCGGGTGGCACGGCAGCGGGCCTGCTGTGAATCACGTCATTCTGGGTCATTAATTCCGCTGCTTGAAAATAATAGACGGCCCCCAGCGGGCACTAACAAGGGACCCCCCCCCCCCCCCCGCTGTCCCGCTCTGACTTCCCTCCTCTTTCTGCAAAAGCCCCTGCGCGACACGGCTCGCCGGAGGCCACCGGAGGCCGGAGGGACAGCAACACAATGACCCCGAGGTCCATTTTCCTCGCTGACGATGGGCTGTCGAGATTGGATTGGCTAATCGATAGGGCGACCCGCGCGACCCGCCACCCCCGCCGCGCCCAACCGACCAACTATCGAACGACTTTGTTCCAAAGAGGCTTCTTCTCGCTCCGGATGACAACGCCCGCTGTGCAGCAGCAGCAGCAGCAGCCCCCCCCCCCTCCCCCTTTTATCCCACTCAGTCGGAGCGGAAGGGCCAAGCGGGGATCAAACCCACCCCGCACCACCACGACCGCCACCCCCACTGCATCACGCGGAGAGGCTGCTAGGCGCATCACGCGGCTAAACCCACGGGACCCCTGGCTCGCCGCCAGCTGCGCCAGTCTAGAGCAGAGCGGATGAAACTCCCCCACTGTCCAATAATTACCAGCAGCAAACATTATACTACTTCATACCCCGCGGTAGAACGACATCAAACGTACGCACGTCTTTGAACGCTAATGACTGATGTGTTATATGTACAGAGTGCAAAGAGAAGAAGAAGCAGCGGCATCGACAGGACTACACATTACTCAAAGCCAAAAATATCTACGGCAGCAATGTCCTTCCAACACACTGCAAATCAAAGTAGCGCAACCCAGTCAGAAAGCCGCTTAATGAATTGAGAATAATTGGAAAAAACAGAGGGAATGAAATGTGAATGATCAAGCTGCGAAACTTATTAAAATCCTCTTTTGAAAGTTTAATTCAAAGTATACGGAATACTGCAATGTTTTCCTCTAATTATGTAATGACTTGCTACCTATCTACTATATCCCAGAAAATTAAACTATCCTATTAATTATTTTTTCTCATGTTGTCGCAGAAATTACAAACATGTGTCTGGTAAGCTACTTTTTTGTCTTTGCAAAGACGTATATATGCACAATATCGTTTAATTCATGGATATTGTGAAACACTTTTGCCTGAATCGTGAGGAAAAGTAAAATTGTATAAAAATCAAAGTGTCCCTATTTCTTTCCAAGTAAGTTTGAAAGATGAAAATGGTTCGTTCAATAGTACAATCTATTAGGAATTGTTACAGAATCAATGTTGCACTTCCAATTGGTGGCTTCATGTTTAAACGCTGTATTGACAATGAAAGTACCTCGTGTAAGATTCAGTGACATGTCAAATATTATAGTCACATTTATTAAGGCATGTCATGAAAGCAACTACCCCTTAGCATGCATTCAAAGTTGAATGAAGGTCTACGAAGGGCACGACCGGTTGGTTGAGGTTAAGTTCGTCAGCTAACATAATAATTCATGGCCAGAAGCAGCAAAATAACAACAAATTTCAATTCTACTACATAAAACGTATGTATTTTACAATAAAAAAGAATATACTGAATGAAATTCACTCACGAATCTAAACACAATTCCATACAATCCATGTTAACGATCTAAACGCCCCTCTTTGCGAGATGCAAAGTGCAGCACTGTCTACTTGAATCGTCTAGCAGACGACTCAAGAGCCTGAGTGTAAATAACTCGCTAAACGTACCAACAAACGAAATAAAATTGGAGGTGTTTAAGGAGTGCCTGTGATAGAAAGGAAGCATAAATAATCATGTACCTAAATATTTCCTTTCTAACGTCATTCTTTCGAACCTATGGATTCCTAACAACTATCTTTATACTTGGTTTCGATAGTTCTGTTGTTGGCAGCGCTGAACATGAAATTTAGCCCGGGAGTTTTAGAGATGAACTGAAGGAAATATGTCCAGCAATAATAGGAGAAAGAAGAAATTAAATCGAAAAGTGTGTTTTATTGTGAAATAGAAATAAAAATGTGTCAATAACATAATTTAGAATTTGAAAATTTCACCTCAGCTCATAGCTTTGGCGTATTTTCAGAGACATATGGGTCAGCAATTCTTCTAAATACAGCGAGAAATTTTGATCCACTGTTACGATCAACTTTTTGACCTTCTTCTGTGCTTGAGAAGAGCTTTTCTATGACTGGGTCAGATAGCTACAAGAAATTGGACAAAACAGAACAGGATTTCAAACCACATTGAAGTTATGGTGATGTACTGTATAAGACACTTTCTTTAGGGAGGCCTTACCTTCTCTTCTTCAGTTATAGGTTCAAACAAGGGGTGTTCTTGAAAATGGTCTCTCATCCAAATATGTAGATCTTCAACATCTGTCACAGTGTACACAATAGCCTGTGAACAAAAAAAGTACGGATTTAAGGACTTGGGAGTTTAAAAATAATATGTTTCAAAAGAATTCAAATCCATTATTTTTACGGAAAATTTGGTCTTACTTACGTTTTCAGCCAAAACATAAGCATACTCAGCCAGAAGAGTTTTGTTGATAATACGCCACTTATGCTTGGCCTTTTTAAAGTGTGGGTCAGGGTAAAGAAAGAACATCTTTTTCAGCTGTAAATTTTAAAAATGTGGAATGACAACAGTTTTGCTGTATCATATGTGCAACATAACATGGGATTTAAATACCTGGCCTTTCTCAAAGAAGTTAGGTAAATATTTCATAGCATTTGTTCTTAAACAGGCAATATTCTGGTACTGTCCTGGATGTTGTGTCCTCAATGCAGCTATACGATCCATAACATAATCTGACACTTTCACACGGATTTCCATACCCACCATCAGTGATTCGGGGAACATGGGAGAGAGGGTTACTGTAAAATATAAAACAATGAAGATTTAACTGAGCCGAAACTCTACTAAAACACCAGATTTTTCACAAAATTTCTACATTAGACGTACCTAACAGACCTCCATATCCACATCCTACATCAGCAAACTCAACCTTTTTATCTGACTTTGTATTAGATTCGTCAGATGATGTTTTTGAAAATACAGAAGGATATAACTCGGACCAGTCCATTTCACTAGGACAGATAGGGCTGAAAGAAAGTGAACGATTAAAACAGATAATTAATGAAATTCTTAAATATCGGCAAAATAATGTTCGAATTTTCAATTTCTACTTACTAATCAAAACAGTGGTCGGCAATTGGATTAGAGTGAGCTCTTTGCCTGTAGTACTTTTTCTGTGGAAGTTTCTTTTTGGGCCGATCCATTTCTTGAGGTGATTCATTACACACAGGGTCGGTCATATTGAATGAATCAAAAGTAATGGAATGTCAAACACTGATGATGAAAAGAAAACTAGGATAAACTGTGCCAATTCATTTTAACCCTTTACAGTAATTTTTAGCAACAACAACAAAATATTCTCGAACAATAGTATAAAATAAAGACGAACGTAAACATACATCTGCATTTTACACGAAGCCTGATAGAAAACATAACCAATGAAGTGGAGTATAAACGTACCCAAATAGATGAAAAGGAGGAGATTCAAGCGGACCTCAGCGAAATTCGTGAGGTCACTACAGACTTAACAACAATAATTGTGCGCGAGTCAATTTATTTCGAGGTGACAATGAACACGAAACATTTCACGAGACTTCACGTGTGCTTTTCGGATCAGCTGGCGATCCCGCCGGGTTTACGTGTGTGCTTGCAACGACCCTGGTGGCCGCTCTTGGAAGTACGCACTGCGCCAGAGTCAGTTGGGCTGCCTAGCCGCCCGGCGTTCGTGGCAAGGTTCGCTCATGGTTACGAACTCCCCAGGCCAGGGATGAAGATTTGTTAAAATGTGCAGTCGGAAGCCCAGCCCAGCAAGTGTCTGAAAAAATCCGTCTTTGAGAACTCGAGAGCGATAGTCGAAGGCTGGTTAGTCATCGTCCACGGGCAGCTGCCCTGTGCCCCACCAAGCTTATCAGGAAAGGGAAGCATTTTAAAGGAATTGTTGAAGTGAGTACAAACACTTCAAAAAACGACCTTAATCACAATCACGGAATGGCTCTTGAAAACAATATACTGCTCATCATAGCTAGGTAATCCCTCGGGGAGGGGTGGTACTTCCCTGGCAGAAACGTAAAGGTGATAGCATCATCCACCCAGATCATCCCAGACGAACCTAAAGAAAAGACTGCTGTCTGGGCAAACAACTAACTTCTAGTCGACTGAAACGAAAACAATGACCTATTCGGCCCTGAGAGGAGCCGTGTCAACGTTTTACTAGTCGTTTACAGCGTCGAACAAAATGGAAAATTACCTGGGTGCCATTGAGCATTGGGCTATTGTCTGCAATCATATGTTGCATTAGATCTACGTCACTCGTTACATAACACATTTATGGCAAATAATTGGTCCTTTCAGGGTAATAGAGGGAATTCTTTTGCATGATGAAACACGCGATAAAGGTTCCTGACATAAAGTTATCGATCTAGATTGAATTGATTTAATTTAACAACAGGCAGCGAGCGTTTGTATTCGTTGGCGTAAATCTGAAAAGTCTGCAATTTTACTGAGTGCGTACGTGATTCTATTTTTAAAAACGAAACTTCTCTTCTCTCCACAGCCCC